CAACTGGAAGAGCGTAATCGATGTCACTGAACTGTGCATGCAGAAATTTTTGAAATGGTGTATCTTTGGCTATGTATATTTTCAAAAAAAAAAAAGGTTGAGAAGGGAGAGAGTTGACATGTTGTGAGGTTGTTAACCAATGTCATAAAACAATATGTGTACTACTGTTTAACAAGAAACTATTTGTTCTGTAAGTCTTCACCTGAAGTACAATAAAAAAAAAAAGAACAAAGAATAAAAAAATAATAAAAACAGTTTTATTGAGATATAATTCACATAGCATACAATTCACCCATTTAAAGTGTAAAATTCAATGGCTTTTAGTATATTCACAAAGTTGTGTACCCATCTCCACAATTAATTTTAGAGCACTTTCATCAACCTGAAAAGAAACTTCTATTTCCCAGTTATTGCCCATTCCCCTCCTCTTCCATCCAGTCCCTGGCAACCAACCTACTTTCTATCTCTACGTATTTACCTATTCTGGACATTTCATATAAATGGAATCATATAATATGATGCGGTCTTTTGTGACTGGCTTCTTTCACTTAGAATGTTTTCAAGGTTTATCCATGTTGTAGCAAGTATTGTTACATCACTTCTTTTTACTGCTGAATAATATCCACTGTGTTACATTTTGTTTTTTTATACAACTGTAATCGTTCCAGACACATAATTTTGTGTCCAGCATTTTCCATATAATAAATGCCTTATACCATATTTAATGAAAAGTTGTGCCCCATCAAGTGCCTGTACCACAGGTGACTTAATGATTTTATTATTATTGGACATTTGAACTGTTTCTAGTTTTTTCCTACTGTAAAAAACTTTCTTAAATGCAGGTTGGGGCTCCTTTCTGAATGACCTATCTGGATCCAGGGAAATGGCTCTCCCACAAACCCTGAGTTTCCTAGTGAGATTTGCCACAGAGGGCAAGAGTCACGTTCTTCCAGGGAAAAATCAGGATTTTATCTATCCCAAATCTAGAGAAAGGACAGATGTTTAAAGGTACTGGAGGTTGAAAAGAATACCTCCAAAATACCAGATTAAGAATAAAAATCCATAATTATAAAGACATATTAACCATTAACTAGTCTGACTCTTCAATCAGAAATCTATGGGGATAAAGAAATCAGACCACTTTTACTTTCCATAGCAGGTTAGAAGAAAATTAAAATGAGAGAGCATCTTGACTATAACAGTAAAAATGTTGCTACCAGATGACTTAAATCCAGCAAGTAGGAAAAGGGGGAAGACAGCCCATAAGGGTCCTCTAAAGCAATCAGACATATTGGGTTCCCCTAAAACACTGACTGTTATTGCCTGCTGCTTCCCATTCTTTAAACAAAAATGTAAACAACCCCTAAATCAGAAAGGTTTTAAAATTCTGAGCTAGTTTTAGGATTATTAATCCTCATCCAGTAAGATCCCTTAGAATCTGGTCTGAAAATAAAACTACATGTCAAGTGTTCCTCAAAAAATACTATGTATACTGATTGGAAAGTGATGTCAATTAACACACTTTGTGAGTGATTTGCCAAAGAAACTTCTGATAGCCTGGCCCAAAACAATAACAAATAAATAATATCCACTTAACATTTTCCTTGGTAAGGCAGAGATTCTAGGCATAATTTTAGAAGAAAAGCAAACAAATCTGAAGTTATCTACTAAAGTCACCAAGAGCTACACAAGTAATTCTGGGAGAAAAATAAGAACCAAATGACTGTAAAATTAAGGATAAAAACTTTAATATGCAATTAAGAAAATTTTATTCACAACTTTAAGGCAAAAATAAATACCCAGCCATTACTATGAGGATTACAGGCAAGGTAGTTTAGCCCTACACCAGAGGTACCAAATGAATTGTAATACAAATACCTAGCAGTATTACAGTTGAACCCAGTCAGATGAGCAATTTGGAATACACGCGCGCGCGCGCACACGCGCACACACACCTCTCTCAATCCTAAACCACCTCATCCTAAACGAACACAAGTGTTCCTTGATTTTCCAATTAATTAAGTCAAGGTGCGCAATTTTTCAACAAGAGTTTTTGTTTTGTTCTGTTTTGGTTTTAAAGAAATGACTTCATGAGCTGCACAAATTTAAAAAAGAAAGAAAAACCTGACAAGTCAAGGCTCAAATTCTGTGGTTTCATAACCTCCCCACCGTCATGTTAGTCCACTGCCTTTCAAAGACAATATTTAAAATTCTCTTCTGCAAGTCAACATTAAGGCATGCTGTTTGGCTAACAAGCTCCTCCCAAGACCAGGATTATTATATATGGCCTATTATGTCCCTAACATGCAAACAAAAGTACTCCCTCATGTAATATTTTTCTATTTTTAGGCAATAGGTTACTAAAAAGTTATCTGAACTTAAAATGTAGTAGAAGCATATATCTATTAATAGACTACTTAAAATGTAATTTGAAGTTGTTAATTATATTTCCCATTTACTAAATAAACTAAAAAAACAAAAACAAAACCTATTGCCCGTGAGTCGATTCCAACTCACAACGACCCTATAGGACAGAGTAGAGCTGCCCTACAGGGTTTCCAAGGAGCGCCTGGTGGATTCAAACTGCCAATCTTTTGGTTAGCAGCCGAACTCTTAACCACTACGTCACCAGGGTTTCAGCTAGGCTTCTGGAAAAGTCAAATTAAACTTCCAAGAGGTATGGAGCTGTTGCCATTGTTTAATCTTCACAGCAAACCACCTACTTTGGATTTCACAAATGGCATGTTTTAAACTAAAAGCAACTAGTTTTGCAGCAATTATAAGATACTTGCTATTTAACCATTCTCCATTCATGTTTTAGATACTTTTTGTCATTAATGACCAGCGTAATCAGCTTCTCACCAGCTTAATCGGCTTCTCACTAAAGTTTTCTTTCTACTAAACCAAGTCCCATAACATATGTTCAAATGTACTTCACTTAAGCCTTCTACTTTGAAGACACAGGGTTTTTTTTTCCCAACTACTGACAAAACTATAACAAGACTAAGCAATTTCACTACAATTTATAATCACAAACACCACATAGCTAATAGATAAGCTTTTAGAACAGAAACAGTAACAGGTTTATTCTCCCAAGTATCCAGTGTTCAACTAGGTCAAATGTTTCTGTTGCATTTTAAACAGTTTAGCCCTTGAAGTGATAAGGGTGAAAATAAGCCAAAAGAATCTTAATGTTCTTCAGTGGTATATAATCAGAACAACCCAAGAAAGATTTAGAAACTGCCAGCTGAAGTCTGTTAATATCTTAATAATCACTTTAGCATTAGCATTAATCACAGTAATAAAGCTATTTTAGGAAAATTATGCTCATAGAGCTAAAGACTTTACAACAGAATTGCAATCAGGGGACTCTACCCTGTTTTACTACATAAAACACATTTGCTATTCTAAAAATACTCACTAGCATTCTACATTTTCAGATGATTTATAAGATCTATCAACTTCTATATAACTGGGGAGCCTGGTTTATATCGTCAACAGCCATTTAAAACTGAGAATTAGTGAAATGTACATTTATAGTCAACATTTTTGTGAGCAAACATAATTTTAAAGGAATCGTTTGCAAGAATACCTCAGAACGTGAGTTCGGTCCATTCACCACTGTATAAATGTAAAACATTTGATCTAAAACACTTTTAACATGTTCCTAACTGGGTTTAACAAAGTAAATCCTTTTCATTACTGTCAGCTTCAATATCATCGAGAGGGACCAAAGTAAATGAAGACACTGAGAGATATGCAAGAATAAAGGATAATCAAGGTAAATGCTGTAACATAAAATTCTGCAACAACAGTAGTAACAACCAAAAATTTGTGAGTGGTTACACAGGTAGATATGTATGCTACACAGGCGTGGGAGGGCATACAGGAGTACATACAAGTGCATATACAGGTACAGTTGCAGGCATTTGTATATATATATCTGTATGTCCTGCACATATATTCACATATAAGAGCACATAGCAGGCACGATTATGGAAACGTCTTAGACATATCCAAACACCTCATGGGACTGAGTTACTGGGTTTGGAGGCTAAGGACCATAGTCTCGGGGGACCTCTAGATCAACTGACATAACATAGTCCATAACGATAATGTTCTAAATCCTAGTTTGGTGAGTAGCGTCTGGGGTCTTAAAAGCTTTTGAACAGCTATTGGTCTCTTCCTGTCTGAAGCAAAGGAGAGTGAAGGAAGCCAAAGACTCAAGGAAGCAATTAGTAGTCCACAGGACTAATGGCCCACACAGACAACAGTCTCCTCTAGCCTAAAACTAGAAGAACTAGATGGTGCACAGCTACCACTACCAAACACTCTGACCAGAGATACAATAGAAGATCC